CATTGTTTAAATTTTGTCACACCTAGTGTTTGTCCTCTGCCTTTCAAGGACATTTAATACAAAGTGACTCGGTGTTTACTCACATACTACAGATATGAGATCACACACACAGACACACACACACACACACACACACACAACTATGCATAAGCTGTGTTAGTGTGGTTTCAACTGAAAAAAAAAATTAAATAAAGAAAGAAAAAAAGAAAAAACAATGGTGGAACTTAAACCTGAATACACACCAACTCATGGGGACTTGTGTCACCGTGGGGACCTAAATTGAGGTCCCCATGGGTACAGAACTTTATAAATCATACATAATGAGGTTTTTTTTTAGGTGTAGGGTTGGTGTAGGGCGATAGAAAATACAGTTTGTAAAGTATAAAAACCATTACGTCTATGGAGATTCCCTACAAGGATAGTGAACCAGACAAGTGTGAGTGAGTGTGTGTGTGTGTGTGTGTGTACTGGTTTATATATCCTGGTGGGGACTTAAACCTGACTACACACAGACTCATGGGGACTCGTGTCACGGTGGGGACCTAAATTGTGGTCCCCACGGGTACAAAAGCTTATAAATCATACAGAATGAAGTTTTTTGAAAGTTTCAGAAAGTTTCCTGTGAGGGGTTGGTGTAGGGCAATAGAATATACGGTCTGTACAGTAGAAAAACCATTACGCCTATGGGATGTCCCCACAAGGACAGCAAACCAGACATGAGTGTATGTGTGTATGTGTGTGTGTGTGTGTGTGTGTGTGTGTGTGTCAGAAAGGGATGGAAAATGTTTGAGGCTGACGTCATTAAACATATATTTTGACCAGATGTATTCATCATCTTCTGATTAGACTTGTCCCAAATGGCCAGAGGGGTTTCCTGTGAACTCATTTTGGCTATGTATGTTTGGAGTCAAGGAGAAACCACAGTCTTCAGCAGACAGCACCAGTGAGTGATCTATCAACTGGGTTTGGAATCAAATTTCAGAACATCTAAAACATTACTGGATCCTGAAAGTAAATCTAGCACATGGATCTGTGGAACAGACACATTTCTGTTTATTATTATTGTGTGCAGATTAGAGAAAACAGAATCTGATCTGAGGCCAAGGTCACCTAGTCGAACAGAAGAAGTGTGCATTTTGCACTCACCCTTAATTTCTATGTGCAGTTTATATCTGCATCATTGTTGCCATCTGGATTTAAAAGAGCAAATACTTAAGATAATATAAGGATTAAACCATTATTGCAGTGATTGATATGATTCTGGCATGTTGTATGTTTAGTAACAATCCTTTTAACCCTAACTGATGCAGTGAGTAACTTTTTATTTCTCAAATAACCATGTCAGAAGACGTACCCATGTACATATTCAAGGATGAAAATACTTGGGTTCATCAGGCTTAAAAGACTAGCCACCAGTGTCCTGACCTTAACCTCACTGAAAGTCTTAGGGATGTGATGGAGACGATTTAAAGGGATAGTTCACCCAAAAATGAAAACTAGCCCATGATTTATTCACCATCAAGCCATCCTAGGTGTATATGACTTTCTTCTTTCAGACGAATTCAACCGGAGTTATATTAAAAATTGTCCTGGCTCTTCCAAGCTTTATAATGGCAGTGTGCGGTTGTTTCTGTTCAACAGTCCAAAAAGAAGTCCAATAAAGCACATCCATTCATAATAAAAAGTGCCTCACACGGCTCAGGGGGGGGTGAATAAAAGCCTCCTGTAGTGAATCGATGCGTTTTTGTAAGAAAAACATGGGTTTTTAGTGTTTTGTAAGAAAAACATGCATTAGAAACCGGTGGCAATGGCCACTTTCTGTTTAAAAAGCATATGGACACAGGTGCTCCTTTTGGGATACGGGTGGGCACGGTTGTTTCCTATGGGAAACGGATGGGCATAGGTGCTTGCAGAGGGAGACTGACTGGCACTAGTGTTCCCTGTGGGAAACCGGCAGGCATGGATGTTAAGAATCGGATATTGAGGCCACGTGTTCTGTGTGGAAAATGGGCAGGCACACGTGTTCCATGTAAGAAAGATATTCACCTTCTAAGATCAGGCTCTATTTTAATGCACACGTAATCACCGCCAATGGGTGATAACAGTGTGGAAGGAGCTGCCACTGGTTGGAATAAACTGGCGAGGGTGAGAAACCTGAGGGACACCAGAAAACATGGTTGCTCCCTGTGGGAATTCAGCAGGCAAGGGTTTTCTCTGTAAGAAAGAACTCCCCCTTCTAAGATAAGGTTCTGTTTCAATGCACACATGTATGCTGCCCCTGTGTGTTCCTTGTTGAGAAGGGGCTGCTACTGGTGCTTCCTGTGGGTATGGGTTCTCCCTGTGGTAAATGGGCAGGCACAGGTGCTGCATTTGGGAAACAGGTGACCACGGGTGATGCTTTTTGGAAACCAGCAACCACAGATGCTTCCTGCTGGAAACTGGCAGCCACTGAAACTCCTTGTGAGAAACAAGCATGAGTGGATTTCCCATTTTGATGGTTGTTAGGTGTCTTCAGTGGGTGTAAGGTGCAAGACGTGTCTCCTTGACAAATCACTTTTGTTCTTTTCTTGTAAGCTGTGTTGGATAAAAGCATCTGCTAGATGAATAAATGTATATCATGGTGAGTATTCACATAAACAAGGTTGGTTAAATCAGACATGTCAGTATATTAGATCCATGCATTAGGTCTTAAAGTGACAGCAGCCTAATATACTTGCTGTTTGTGTACTTAAACAACAAAGGAAAAAGAGAAAATCACTCACTGCTCTTGACTGAATAACTTTTGTAGCTTATATATTGACTAAACTATATTTAATTCATACATTGAAGACTATATGTGTTATTTTAAATTGATTACTTTATTCAATTTCTACAGTATTTCACCTGAATACTATTATTAGACCTACCTGAAAAACGTACTGTATCGCACACGTGCTACAGTGGTAAATTTATTCATCGCACAGACCAGTTTTTTCGTAGCACGTGCGACATATATGTCGCACTGTACAGCCCTGGTACATCAATTCATTTGTATCTTTGTTCTATTTAATTTGTGCTATTTGTGCTTGTAATTTGTTCTGATGTTATTATTATTGTATGTTTGGAGTTATTATTATCTTTACTCATTTTTAATAATGTTTTTGATTTATTTTAGTTAGGCTGGTTTTGCTGTGGTATTGAAATTGGACTAGAGAATTGTGGTATATAATATTTTATTATTCTAATATAACCATATTTATTAGAATACAAGGTTACATAAGTCAAAATAAAATCTTTTGAATAATTAAAATGTTTAAAAGGGTTCAGTTGAAAATGAAAATCAAGGAACAAAAAATAACCTGAAAACAAAAAATTCAGCATTGGAATATAAATGCTCATTTATAAATGTTATTGTGCTTCTTTCTTTATCTCTTTGAAACTGTGGTGGGTCAAAATAAAAAAAATAAAAAATAATAATAATTAAAAAAAAACATTCATTGATTTCATTTTACTCATTTGAGTTTTTCAGGAATTCTCCAGTCTGCAGGTCTCCAGGTCTTTCGGTGCGTGTGCACAAAGATGCACACACACACACACACACAAGGAACTTCATGACTCATTTCCCATGTAGCAGCAGTGAGGTCTGTTGGACTGGTGTTGGTTAAGGATGAGATAATCTCTGCTGGAGTTTATGACAGCTGGAATGATGTATTCTCAATGACATCATGCGCCTGGCATCTCCAAAATAATCCCAGAAACTGGATCTGGGGCCGTATGTATAAAGCCGCTCAGAGTAAAATTTTTGTCCTAAGTGTGTCAAAATTCTGAGAATGATGTAATTTTACTCTTATTCCTAGATTTAAGAATAAGAGTGATTCATAAAGGTTCCTAAGTGTTAAGACTAGGTCCCAGCTCCTAAATTATTTAAGAGAGCTGGAGAGGTCTCCTAACCTAGTTAGGAGTAGCAAGATGGCAGCACAGAGGAGGAAACAAACACTTTCCAGCGAGTGTTGTGCTGCTGTGACTTTACATGAGCAGGCTCACTATTGGCTGATTCAGAGGTTGAGGTCAGCCATTTTGTGTTGACATCTTTGTAGTCCTTAGTTCACAACACTTAAGTGTCACCTCAGTCAACACTTAAGAATCAGTCTTAGACTTTACTGAAAGCTGCTTTTAGCTTCTTTATAAAAGTCCCCTACTCTTAGAAAAGTCCTACTTTTTACTAAGAATTTTTTGACACTTAAGTCAAAGCTTAAGACTATTCTTAAGAGCATTTCTGAGAAGTTTTATACATACGGGCCCAAATTAAAATAAAACCTCACCTGCATATTTCTCTGTACCTCCTCAGCACACACTGCAGTCTGCTTTTGTGTTTGAAAAAGGTTAAAGGTTGTTTCCCAGTCTAGAAGTGCCTGAATGATTGTAACTACCTGATTGACCTTAGAAGACAAACTGATCTTCATTTTACAACTTTTATGAATCTATATTTATCTTTTTAGGCTGTACCAAGATGTTGAAATTCATTCCTTAAAACTTATGTTAGGCTTATATTTAGTAAATATTACAGTGCAGACTAGCATCTATGTTCACTAGTATTTATTGAATCAGTTTTAGCATTATTTTTTATTCTTTATTTATTTTTGACATACAAATGATGAATTGATCATAGTCACTGCTAGTCATCAATAAACCTTACATAGATAAGTAACAAGTACTAAATTATGGTTGCTCTTTTTATTTTGCTTCTTTATTAAGTGCTTTATTTTGGTTGTAGTTATTTTAAAATTATTCATTTTAGTTTTTCATTTATGATTTAATAATTTTATTTTGATCAACCCCAGTTTGAGATATATATATATATATATATATATACACACACACACACACACACACATATATGCAAAAATGTAAATAAATAACTTGTATTAAACTGGTGAGATGTATAATACGTATTTCATGTTCAGTTGTCAACTCTTTGGATCTCACAGCACGGTTAGAGAAAGAAAATGAACAGACCAATCTGTAAAAACATACATGTTATTGAGGACGTCTGATATTTTACAGTTGTGTGTTATTAACAGTACATAAGATTTCCTCTTCTGGAATCCAGACATGTAGTATCAACATACAAAATTGCGGCAATATAGGAGGCGTTTAAGATACATGATATTTATATGTATATCTATATATGCGTGGAATCTTCTGAAGAGGATTTGAGATGGATATTTCAAATGAACTCATGGTAAGACTGCAGAGTTCTTTCTTACAAGCACAAGCTTTTCGCAAAGCATGAACCTTTAACCCATAATCAAACAAAGATGGAATGAAACATGAACCATAACTTGAAAAAAAAAAGAAAGAAAAAAGATTTCATACAATTCATCATTTGTTCACAAAGAAAAAAAGAAAGACAAACACAAACTCAGATTCACTTGATACACAAGGCTCTTACAAAACAGAACAGTACAAAACAATGAAACGCAATGTCAAGGCGAGAAAAGTTGGTCCTAGCTTTTGCATTTAAAGCAGGTATACAACATGTTCCCCTGTGTAATCCAGCTATATAATCCATACCGGGCATGCTCAGACTGCTTAGTCCGAGATGCCATACTTTTGTGCAGAAGGTCCATTTGGTAGCTTCACCACCTTCCTCAAAAACGTGCCAAAGCTTATGTGCTCTACATTATATACCACAATCAATGAACCTCGTAGGCTACTCACAGAAAATGGCAAGCAGTATAAAGGTTAATTCAGTATTTTACACTGGTGTTAAGAAAGCATGTTAGATCACGAAAAGATAAAGCTTTGCTTTACAATGCAAACATGCATGCGATCGCAAACGTGCATGTATGTTCGGGGCTCTGGCTGCACCAGGACCGCTAAATGCTCACAGAATTGGTTGCCATTTAAGATGAAACTTTTCTCATCCCTCTCGCTCTCATTCAACTAGTTCCCTAATTTCCTCTTTAGCACAGACCATGTGCTTAAAAAATATTGGAGAGATCCTACATAAACTAAAGGAATAATCCACCACAACTTGAACGTTTTGTCATTTACTCACCCTCATGCTGTTCCAAACCCATATCTGGTTATTTTTTTAAATGGGACAAAAAAAATTTTTTTGAAAAAACTTCATGCAGCTATTTTCCATATAAAATCTGTAGTGACTACATCTTGTGCGTTACATCTTTTCCAATCCATCTGGCAATTGGTTGATGGTGAACCAATGTTTTTTTTTTTTCACTGCTTCAATGAATGACTTAAATTTCGTTTTAACCCGCATACAAAACTATCGTATTGTCTTCATAGCACATAACGTGTTTGACAGCTGTGGTTACAATAAACTGTGTGAAAATACTTTTAAAATTCAACTTTTGTGTTCTACACACACACACACACAAAATACCAGCATACATGTTTGGAAAACTTCAGGGCAAGAAATTTTGCTATTTGTTTTTAGGGTAAACTATTCCTTTAATAAACTCAAAAAAATGAAATCCAAACCCCTATTTCCTGTCTGATCTCAGCTAGAGTCCTGAAAATGAGAGTACTTAGGTGTTAGTCTTTGGCATGGTATTAGAAATGTCATTTCAGATTTATCTACAGGAAAGAAACTCTCATCTAAATCTATAATTGACGACTACATTGCATAAATGCTCACTTCCTGTGTTGAAAAAAAGAAGAAAATATCCCTTAGTGCATTGCTCGGTGGAAATAAACCTCAACAGTTTTTAAGTCCTAAGTGAAACTGGTCAACCTTTGACATTCATTTACACACCCAAGGTTGTCATTAGTGCTGATCTAGTACAAGTTTTTCCATTTCCAATGACATTTGATGAAAATGGGGCACTGATCTTAAATTAGCACTCTTAATTCCTCAGACACACAGTATCAGCTGTTGTGTTTTGGGAATAGAGGTGAATTTTACAATTCGAATTGTCTCAATCAGCATGTGATGCAGTGTGGAAGCTGAGAGTTTTTGAGACGACCCAGCTGCCCAAAGACATCCACACACAACCCATGCCGATAGAACTACAGCTGCACAATCTTGTCAGACTCACGGTGAAGCTAACGGTGAGAGTATAGATGACTTTTATTAAGGAGTGTCTGTTATGATCTGCGCAATTTATTAGCCATTAGCTCTGTTCAAACCTGTGCTCCAAACCCAGACTCGACAAATCTAGATTTAGCTCACATTAAGCGGGGAACACAGCAGATCCAGTCCAGTTGAGTCTAGATTTGTTCAGAGTGAATGTGGGCGACAGGTTCTGATCCAGCCCATCCATGAAGAGATCACTATAGCGCTTGAGTGCATGGTATGTAACCGCTGCAACCTGTTTAGTTTCGTTTCAAAGAACTTGTTCAAAGAAAAGAGCAGAAAAGGTTTTACACATGCAAAATATGAACAAATGAATTGCAGCTATAAAAACAAACAACAATAAACAATAATAATAATACATAAAAAGATCATTGAGTATTAACATTAGGGAGGCAAAGTATCCAGTTGTGTCCCTTCTTCAGGTGAAGCAGCTCCCTCAGAGGGTTTGGCACAAGAGTCCGATGAGCTTGAGAGAGAGAGAGAGAGAGAGAGAGAGAGAGAGAATATGCTCTACACATCCTTCTCTACTCGCTTCTGCCGCACTGAAAGAGAAAACAGAGACGTGTTAGTAATCGGATACATTGACAGCATTCATGCTGTGAGCTACGAGAACCTTTAATGAGATCTGCTCATTTAAGACGCTTAATAAATTAGTGTGTTAGTCAATCCTTCATCCTGTTACAAAGCTACACACAATTACTAAATTCAGCCAAAACTTGTTCTGTGTCATGAACAATCAGGTCCCCCTGCACAAAAGCGTCTTCACCCATTGTAGCAGGTATGCTATCAGTTTCCTGTTACAGTACAACAGCACTACTTTAGACTACTGTATTATACAACCGCTGATATCAAAAGTTTATTCTTTCACATTTTATTATTTGCATGTTCTTAATGATCAAAGGTATTATGAGATTTAATAAGCTAGCTGGCTAACAGCACAGCAGGATGCTGAGCAGTTAAAGAGTAATATTTAATTTCTCAAAGTATAGCTTTATTTACTATTACAAGCGACATATAATTTAAAAGACTTATTATTTATAGTTGCATTTACATTTGATTTTTTTTTAATAGTTCACCCAAAATGAACAATTTGTCATCGTTCACTAACCCTCATGTCATTCCAAACATCTATAACTTTTTTCTGTGGAAGATATTTTGAAGAATGTTGGTAGTACAATAGTACGAGGGTAGAAGAACAGTTTTTATGCCCATAAACTTTATTTGAATGGCCAAAAAAATAGAAGACTGAGACATTTCTCAAAATATCTTCTTTTGTGTTCCACAGAAGAAAGTAATGACATTAGGTTGAGTAAATGATGACAGAATTTTGTTTTTGGGGGGTGAACTATACCTTTAATACTACATTTAAACGTACATATGTGAAATGTGTAGGTTTTCTAATCAGGCACCGAACTAAGTACAAATTAAAGACCTTTCAGCCAATGTAATTGCTAGGCAGACCCAATTGTAAATGACAACAGCCTATCTAGTCTGTCTCAGATCCAATTAGGTTTTTTAATCAGCCTGAAGGGAAACAACGATTTATTTTGAAGGTACTAGGTTGATAGGCGGCCTAATAATTAGATATGCCAAAACTGCCAGGTTAGTTTAAGATGCTTAGAAGCAAGTAAACTAGATATTCATAACCAGTTCTGCTTAGCTGTCTATGAAATAATCAGTTGGATAAATAGGTGGAGGTTTCATGTATTAAAAAAAAAATACGGGAACCAAATGACCTTCGGTTTTGTTATCAGGCATCACTCATGCCAGTGTCAACAAAACACCATTTTAAAATACTCTGACAGAGTTTGTTGAAATACTTATTCAGCAGTGCAGCAAATAGAAGTGACTTATCTTTTTTAAAAAGTTGATTGTTTTTAGTGAATCGCAAACATTCAGAACAACTAATGCTAATGAGTAGGATTTTAGAAAATCAAACACGTTCAACTTTCAACTAACTGTGGCATTAGTTCTTTTGTGATTTCCAATCCCTATTAGTAAGCTATTCAGTTTTGGACAGAAATTCTACACGTATTTTATGCTAATTTCTACAGGGTTCTTTCTAAGTGGGCAGTTCTTCGACAGAACAAGCAGCAAAGTGGACCAGACGTTATGCCTAAAGTCAAAAGACCGGCTACATAAGACTACTGCTCTGAGCTGAAGCATGTTAGTGTTTTTGTTCTTGTGTGTGATTTCCAGCAGTGGACTGTGTTTGGTTAATCAGTGTTGATTAGTTCACTTCTATATAAGGCCTTGAATTCACAACAGTGAGGATCTGATAACTTATCACACCCTGTATAACCTGTCCAATGTACAGGTGAGTCAAACAAACGGTCTTTAACAAAACTCACACATCATCTTTCAAAATGTGCTGTTAGCAGTCATGCCAAAGGTTAAATGTCAAACCCATGCTCTCACACATGATACCTAAAGACACTGGAATAGAGCTTGACGCATGGCATCATCTCACACGTGTAAAGCACACGGTGTGCGCGCTGTAACATAAGACTGGCAAACTGGAGACAGATCCAGACTTCATTGAAGAAACACAGAAAGGAAAAGAAAGTCCCATGAATAAAATACCATTTTAAAAGACCTTATTTTGTAGCAGTTTTTTCTTCTTTTTTCTGAAGTCCACTTATAAGTCAAGTTTTCTTGCACTAAGGTTTCTATTTTTACCTTCCATCTGAACCTAATAATATAAGTGGTTTTTGCTACTGTACCTTTATAAGCTCTGTTATGACTGACTAACAACATGTGACATGTACCTGTGAAATAAAGTTAATGAGTACAAAATAGGACTTGATATGTAAATTACGGATGTGCATCAGTAATCAACTAGAGTCTCACCCGTACACACTGTAGCTAAATTCAGTTGTCAGTTCACCTTTTAGTGCTTAATCCTGTTCTGTACACACACAGTTCAGTAATTTAAGGGAGTGACAACCGCATTCTATAACCTATTAATGCCTGAAAAATTCAGTTATGACAACAGCATTTGCAGAAATTCTACTTTCTACGTACAGAACCGAACTGAACAATTAGTTGTTAATGACACATTTCCATGCGTATCGCAGTTGTGTCTTTCTTTTGTACACGTGGTACAAGAAAATCATAGGAAATGAGAAAAGAAAATCACAGGGTATGTCTTGACTCATTAGCCAGGTTGCCAGGTCTCGCTAGAAAAAAACTGCAAAAAAGAACAAGCCCATAACAAACTAAAATCCAAATGCTTAATCTTGTAAATAACCTGCACCTGCATACTTTAACTCTATAAACTGGATTGCTTTATGTGGCAAGCTCAAACTACAAGTCCAAAGACGCATATAAAAATTAGACATGGCAACCCAACATGAGTGTGCTCTGATAAGCAGCCTTCCAAACATTACAAAACAAAATGTCTTTTTGTCAATTGTGGTCTGGTTAAAATGCCGATCATAATGAGTCTTTCGTCGCTGTAATATTACTTTGATCAAAAATAGCGAATACCAAACATGCCAGAAGGCAAAAGCGTTGCTATGCTTACCACAGTGTCAATCATCTGGTGTAAGTTCTATTCCGTACACACACAAAAAGATAATTTAGGGAATTCATTCCCATATTTAAATGAGGTTGTTACTCCTGAAAATTTAGTGTGTACGTGGCCACTGTTTTCGATCCTAGGGCCACTTTACCATGGCTTTACCTTGGTAACAACAGATTCTGTGGGTGGAGTTCTAAGGAAGCAGCATTGCTTTACAGAATGGCAAATGACCAATAATGAATCTGTGTAAGCCTGTTTCTGTCAATCAGAGCATATGTGCATTAGGTCGTGTTCTCACCCAGGTCGTTGTTTTTTGTGATAGCGGCAGCGGCACGGGATCTGGGACCCTGCTGGGTGAATTGGTACCCAAACTTTACCATGCTTGTATTCTGCTCCAGCATCTTAGCGATCTCCATCTCTGTTGACGTACCGAGCTGCTGCCGCTGAGAGCAGAGAAGACACACATCAGAAACATCTCTTTTACACATGCCCACACACACAGACATTTTACTATGAGTAACATTTGAATTCAATTTGCATAGTGCTTGAAAATAGCAGGGTTTTAACACGTTTCAACAAATTTGGTATCCCAGACCTGTGCTCAAATATATGTACAGATGCAGCATAATTCATTATACCTACATTGATCATATAACTGAATTAAGACCCATTATGCAGTGGCCGACTAACACAAGCATTAATCTTTCTGTATTATTTATTCTAATTGCAGTGTAAATGCATTCATGCTACCTCTGAACAGTCTGTGTAAATATACCTAAATGCCACTTCAGATGCAGCTTTTGAAAAATGTTATGACCACACTGTAGCCTAAAAGTTTGTGTAATAAATTCTATGTTGAATCAAAATATTTTTGTATTTTTGTAATGTCATTTTACACAACAGTTACTTTATCTTTTGGGGGGTAATTTCTCAGCCCAAATTGATGTGCATTTAATTTGCGATTAATTTGATTTATTAATCAGTACATTATGTAATTAATTACGATTACAATTTTAATCGCTTGAGAGCCGTAGTAATTACATATTAAGGTAACGCTATATAATTTCGCTGGAATTTAAACCCAAGAAAATGTTGCTACTTGGGAATGAAAGTTATCTCATTTGATTTTTTTTTCTTTCTTTGTTTTATGCAAGCAAAAAGATAAGATTATTCATGACAAATATCTGGCATTGGTTCAAAAAGTTCTGCATTATGTAAAAAGGCAGATTCAAAACAATTATACACTACCACTCAAATGTTTGGATGGTATGATTTTTTTAAATGCTTTTGAAATTAGTTTCGTGAACTCATCAAGGATGCATTTATTTGGTCAAAAATACAGCAAAAACAATAATATTGTGAAATCTTACAAAAAAAAGTTTTCTATATCCATATATTTTAAAATGTTATTTATTTCTATGATGACAAAACTGAATTTTCAGCAGCCATTACTCCAATGTCTTGATGGAACATGCCCCTTTAGAAATATGCCGATTAGGTGCTTAGGAAATACTTCTTATTACTATCAAAATCAAACTTAGTTGTCCTGCTTAAAATTTTTGGGGAGACATTTTTTTAGGATTCTTTGATGGAAAAAAAAAAAGGTTTTAGCATTAATTTGACATTTATTTGAAATATAAGTAGGGATGCATGATATTGGATTTTTGCCGATATCCGATGTGCCGATAATTTTCAACTCATTTTGGCCGATAGCCGATGCCGATACCGATATATAATTATTTTTAATTTTGGTTAGTTTTTAACAAGAACTTATTTGTTAGAATTAAATAAACAATAATAAAGTTCCTTTATAATGACAGTATATTGAAGATTTGAAAATAACTATAAATTTTTGCCGATATCCGATATGCCGATAATTTTCAACTAATTTTGGATAGCCTATGCCGATACCGATATATAATTATTTTTAATTTTGGTTAGTTTTTAACAAGAACTTATTTGTTAGAATTAAATAAACAATAATAAAGTTCCTTTATAATGACAGTATATTGAAGATTTGAAAATAACTATAAATAAACTATATATTAATCACTGCATTTTTTTTTGTAAATGGTCTAAAGCAAAAGAGTTGTACAAATTCTTAAAATCTTTTAGAGCTCATAATGTTTAAAAAATAACATATTACACATTTATGAATAAATCAGTATATATAAAATTATTTAATTTAAGTGTCATGTTTGTGATTTTTTTTGTTCATGTAAGCTATAGCTTCTGACCTTTAAATCAAAGCATACTCAAGATTTTATGGCATCAATTACTGCTTTATTTAATCAGAAACGCCGTCAAAATATAATTTGTTTATTTTGCTTTCATTTTATTAGAAGTAGGCCAACAGCGCCCCCTACAGATTAAAACTCCTACCGAACGGGCGTTAGGACCTGGGGGAGGCTGCCGTTGCTGCCACTGCACATGCTATTACTGTTTACTCTTTCATACACCGAACACGTCATTTTTTATGTGCTTTCACAGTTTAAATGCAGCGATCCAAAACAGTGAATCTAATCATCATTCAGGCAAAACTTTGCTTCAAGAATGAGCCACAATGCTGACATGATCTAATCGCACTGTTGACGTGATCTAATCGCTAGCACATGTGAGTTAATGTATTCCTCTTATCGGCAAGACATATCGGCATAATTTTTCATGTCAGGCCGATGCCGATATTTACATTTAAAGCCATTATAGGCCGATTCCGATATTGGTCCGATAATATCGTGCATCCCTAAATATAAGTATTTTGTAACAACGTAAAGGTCTATTGTCACTTTTTATCAATTTCATGTATTCCAATATAAATACAATTATTCATAAAAAAAAAAGAAAACACAAATGTCAAAGTTGACTGGATAAGCCACTTTGATGAGGCTGTTAAAAAAATACACACATGACAATAATTGCTTAATATTAGAATCAGATTTCTACATTAATGTGACAAGTTGATCTGCAACAAGCTTGCTGGTTTTAGAACAGCATGTGGTTGAATTTGTGTGCTGTACCTGGTTGTCAATCTTGATCTCTGTGAGCGTATCATTGTCCCGCAGAACTTCTACCAGAACCTTAACTCCTGCGCCAGTGATAAAATTAGACTCCAGATTCAAACTTTTTAGCATCTTATTCTCTCGTAGCATGTCTGAGAAGGCCTGCAGGGAACACAGAGAAACACACAAAGCTTTAACAGTGTAAAGAGAGCCACATCTCTTCCATATTTATCTTAGCTTTTGCGCTTCAAGCTGCCTTTCACTTTTAGTGAAGACAGACAACCTACTTGACACTGACAAATCACCAGTAACCACAGTTACAAGTAATGACACTATCATCTACTATTTAGAGTGGATTGTATTTAAAACTGCTTATACAACAATTTTCAGAGGTTTAACAAATGCTGCCTATTTGAAACCACCAGCAATGACAGGAAAACAGCTGACTTTCATTTTGGAAAGAACACTTAAACGGAAGAATGGAAGAATCAATAAAAGAACCAATTCACTGTAGATGATTCAAGAGTTTTCGAGATTTTTTTTTTGGACACTAAAAAGCACGGACTCACTTTATATTAAGTGGCCTTAACAACTATGTACTTACATTTAAATTAATAATTTGGTACAATGCACTTATTGTGTACATACATGTTTTTACATTGTACTTATATTTTAAAAATGCCTGCATGTAATTACATCTGTAATTAATTTCTGTAATTACATTTATAATTACACAGTTGACCCATCCCTTACACCTTAACCCACCCTTAAACCTACCCATACCAACAAACCTGTCCCTAACCTTACCCGTATCCCACCTCAATAGCAGCAACAGTGTTTTGCAATACAATATGAACACAATAAGTACATTGTACTTAATTTTTGATGTAAGTACATAGTAGTTAAGGCCACTTAATATAAAGTGGGGCCAAAAGCACAAATGCACATCCCTAAAGGCAGCATTTGTTCAATCTCAACCCAGAACACATGAACATCTGAAATGAATCATGTCCCTCACCACGGCAACAGGGTCATTGCTCCTGGTGGCAGCCAGACTGAACTTCTTCACATGAGTGTTTCTCTCCATGGCTTTTGCAAAGTCCTTTAGAGTCGGGATTGGAATGTTCTGGAAGAAAAGAGAAGGGAAACATTAAAATCAGATTTGTTGTTGGACAATCAATCAGCTTCTGTATGTCACTAAACTCATTGTCATGGTCTTCATTCTGAGATTTTATAACATACTCTCCATTTTTTTATGAATTTGGAGTCGATGAGTGTCATTTTAGGTCATATTTACATTTAGTCATTTAGCAGACGCTTTTATTCAAAGCGACTTACAAATGAGGACAATGGTAGCAATCAAAATCAACAAGAGAGCAATGATATGCAAATGCTATAACAAGTCTCAGTACACGTAGCAAGGTTTTTTTTAAATTATATAATAAATAAAAATAAAACAGATAGAATAGAAAAAGAATAGAGCAAGCTAGTGTTAAGAGAATTTTTTTTGCTTTTGTTCATTGCATAATAAATAAAAAGAAAACAAATAGATAGAATAAAAAAAGATTAGAGAAGCAAGTGTTTTTTTTAAAGAAAACAAGCAGTTAGTAAATGAATAGAGTGTAAGTCTAAAAGGGGAAATTTTTTTTTTTTTTTTTTTAAAGAACAGAATTAGAATAGAGTCATATGAATTTATATAATCAAATGACACAGATCCCAGCGAGAGCCAAAAACAGATATCCGAAATAATCCATAATTTGAACGTTAAAAAGTAAAAATGGTGGGTTAGGAGCTTTCAGGAAAAAGACATTTACTCTAGTTCTGGTTTGTATGTCTGTTTATGGAATAGTAATTTCATAGCAAATATTTAAAAGATTTTTAGAAGTTTTTAAGCAGCTAAAATGTTTGTTTTTTTAATTCCCATTATTCCTAGTTCCATTTCCAAAATGACGTTATACATTCTTTGTCATTTAACATGTATTTTGTAATATTATAATAATAATATTTATTGTAATAATTAATCAAACAACAAAAGAGTCTGCGACCACTAGTGAAAACGTTTTCATGTTTCACAAATCACCATAAATTGAGTGTTGTAGTTAGGCATGTCGCAATAATCAATATATCGACTTATCGTGCAATATATGTACATGACCTCAATACTTTTTGGTGACGCAATATATCGTCCATTATATTTACTTAAAAATTTATGTCACCATGTTTTTTGCATTCCACTTGCGCCAGTGTCTTTTGCAGCTCATGAGACGCTCGTTCAAATTTTAAAAATGCTTCTACAAACAAAGTTTCATCTGCAGATATGATCTTGTTTAGGGATCTGTGCCTTTGTGCATACGGACATCTGACTGCTGAGTAGTGATTGTGTTTTTCAGCAATAGTGTGCACCCTTAACTTACAGAGAAAAGAAGAAGGTCAGGGGAAATCTGTAAATGGAAAAACCTCCATACAAGTTCTTTGTGCATTTTTCTTGTTTTCTACTTGTTACTTTGCACTTTTTGTTAGAAAATGTTTATTTACTATTTATTCAGGTTTTTTTAAGGCATCTAATATTTTGATGCTTAATTTCCATGATCTAAATATACTTAAAAATTAAAAGTTAGTTGTCATTTGGAAGTGTGTAGGCCTTCTTGCATTATTATGCCGTTACATTATGATTATATATTCAGTGGCATAAAATGGTCTTTAAATGACAATAATATCACTTATCGCAATTATTTCTGGGGCAATATATCACACAACAAAAAGTTGTTATCGTGACAGACCTAGACAGAACTGCTTATGGTTTCAGCCAGCCCATGACTTCATCACAATTTCTCCATCCAACTAGGCGCATCAACCATAACACCTTCCAGGACAGCCAGGAACCTGACTGAAACTGGGAAACAGGAAACTGCCCGGTCCTGCAAATTTGCCTTATACAACATTAGGAAGATCAGGCCCTTCCTATCAGAGCAGGCCACACAACTGCTTATTCAAGCTCTAGTTCTGTCCAGGCTTTGCAACTAATCCAGAATTCGGCAGCAACAGTAGTCTTTTTTACGAGCCGAAAAGAGCACATATCACATCTCTGTTCATCAATTTGCACTGGCTACCAATAGCTGCTCGCATAAAATTTAAGGTATTGATGTTTGCCTACAAAAAAACTACTGGTTCTGCACCCCTTTACCAAAATTCACTACTTCAGACTTATGTGTCCTCCAGAATCTTATATATTTATTTATTTTTTTTATTTTTATTTTTTGATGGTCTGAGGAAAGATTAGAAATGCCCCTGATCTGAATGCAGATTGGGAATGTAAAGAATCAGTAAAATGACATTCAAGACACAAGGAAGCAAAAGTACAGTCGGACAAAATTTCTAACCGACATGCACTGCTTCAAGTCAGCCGCCGATCGGTTTGCGCGGCGCCGCATGAAGTCGAACGCACCTCTTGTTGTTTTTGAACAGAAGCCGTTAAGTCCATTTTAGCGAATCAGCGCGCTGTATTCAGGTCAGGTGACAAGGCTACTTTCACTTTGAAAAGATGTGCTAGCTGAGAAGAGTTTTGTCAAAGCTGACTAAAAGTGATCGAGGATGGATAATTTCGATGAACTTGATGAACCTGTGATATCTTCTTCAGGGCGAAAAAGGAAAATAAAAGCTGAAACGTTTTCATGGAACCTTGCAAAAGCAGCGCGTTACAATGGTGAGGGAAAAGCTCCGTGTATTGCGTGTAATCACATCCATACAGTTTATGATCACAACAACAACAACAACGTTTGTCAGGCATCTACATTGTCATCTGAGGAGATTACAAAGGTTAAACGAGTGTTTTTTAAACTCTAAAACATGAAATGTGGAGTTATCTGCTTTTACCAAAAAAAACGACTGTTGGAGTTGGATCTGCTTTTGCTATAAAACTTTTAATATGTAAAAAAAACATACTTTCAGTGAACTTTAATTTTGCAAATCACCTATTTGTTTAAGTTATTATTACTTAATCAAAACAACCCAACTGCAGTTTGATTGATATTACTTGGAATGCGCAATTAAAAAAAAACGTGATTTCTGAAAAAAAAGAAAAATGGAGTTATCGGTTTTTGCAAATGAACTCTTCATATATTCAGTGGCATAAAATGGTCTTTAAAATGACAATATTATCGCTTATCGCAGTTATTTCTGGGGCAATATATCGCACAACAAAAAGTTGTTATCGTGACAGGCCTAGTTGTAGTAATTGGTGTGTCAACCTTTAGCTTTACTGAGCTGAACAAAACCTGATAATCATGTTCTCCAACATAATTTGAGAATGCTTCATAGAGCATCCTGTGCTTTAGTGGAACCAAGAAATTCAGGCCGTCTGTACAAAGGAGCCACAAGACCAATGTAACTAATTTAATTAGCGACACAGACATAATTCAAAATATAAATATATTTAAATTAAGTTTTTTGTTCAAAATGTTCAAAAATAAATCAAATGAAATATTGTGTATTTCCAGTGCCAAATTAGTTTTTTTTAATCCCATATTGTCAAATATCAGGCAGTATCAGAAGTTTAGACTAAACTGTATTTAGTAATATTTTGTTGGCAATATAAAATTAATCATCATCATAAATATCAAGATTCCTTAAATGCACTTTTTCTTTGGCCATTAAATTTCATAGGGTTTGAGTGTACTAAACTGAATCTCATTACCTTTATGTTGTTGAGATTGACTTCAGTCAGTGAGGAATCATTGGACTTTATCCGCTGCAGAGTTTCCTCCACGTTTGTAGGGTTTGGTGGCTCATCGAAAACTGGCTTCACCTTTTCTCCTTTAATAACATCTATGTCAGACACAACATTCACAAATGAGCTTCCACTGTGTCACGAATGCATGAGATGAAAACTCATTTACAGTATAAATTGATATTCTGAAAGAAATAAGGAGCTGAAAAGACAACACAACTATGACATCTGCTGAAAGATGAAATCAACTTGTAGAATAATAAACTCACTGTTATAACCATCTGTACAGGTGCCGTCATAACTCTGCGAGCTCATCACTAGTGTGTTCACTCCAAGAATAGCTGGACAACACAACACAGAACTGTTACAATATACACAAAGTAGTATTTAAAAGTGCCCACGATTAGGGTGAAAACATCATGATAAGGTATAAAGTGCAGTAATTCACAGTGCATTTAAAAAAAATGCTGTTTAAAGCTTACGTGCAGCTTTTCACTACCATTTTCACTATATTGTTATGGGGGTTACTGCATAAAGCTATATTCACATTCCTGTGTTTCGGCACAGCTGACCAAAAAACACATTCAGCACATGAAATGAATAAAGCGTATCAGGGTTATAATGAAGCATGCTGTGAGGGAAACCAGCCAGGGACAATCTCTTAAAGCAGCGTGCTGAAAGAGGCTGTTTAGGGAGAGAGAGGACGTGCTTGCTGTTTTATTCAAGAGCTGTGATGGATGCAGTGTGGGCGTTCAGACCCCCAGAGTCAAGGAGGGAAAAATTATTGCAGAGAGCGTAATAGAAAACACTAGAATAGATAGCACAGAGCTGTTCATTCAGGCTTAGAGCAATAAAACTAATCCTAGTGATATAAGCATTCTCTCTGTCTCTTGTTGATCTCCCAATACCACTCTGTTTGTGAGATTCTGTAGCTGTTTTTACCTGCCAGGTCATGCAGTTCTGTGTCAGTAGCGCTAGAAAGTGCCTCTTCCAATTCCGGGTCAAGGGTCGTGGCTTGCTCCTGATGGATCTCGATTGGTTTCTGCTTTGGAATCCATTCCTTTCCTGTAGAACGAAAAGACAAAAATCAGTAACAAACGACATAGCTTGTTGTTTGGCTGAAACGATGGATCCTCTGATTAAATGACTCTGCGTAAATGGTGAGTTAACAAATGGGAATAAACATTTATAAGGAATTTGTTTCTATAAGGAAGCATGTATGATTAGATTAAGGTTTTCATGACTTTAAAAATAACATTGTCTCTCAATTAATAAAATTTTTAAAAATGCAATTTAAAAGAGTTTCAGATAGTTTTGCATTTCATGTCGCAGGACATGTTGAGGTATTAAGTTATTTTGACACATTTTTTCAAACAGTTAGACTCGCTTTTGCCGTTTTCCACACAAATATATTTAACCTACAACCTACAAGATTTAACCTAGACTAGCATTCAAAAGTTTGAGGTCAGTAAGGTTTTTTTTTTTATTTTTATTTTTTTATATGGCTTTGAAAAGTCTCTTATGCTCACCAAGGATGCATTTATTTTATGAAAAATACAGTAAAGACAGTACTATTGCAAAATATTATTGCATCAATAAATAGTAAATATAACTCATTCCAGCGACGGCAAATCTGAATTTTCAACAACCATTACTTCAGTCTTCAGTGTTACATATTCCTTCAGAAATCATTCTAATATGCTGAACTGATGCTGAAGAAACACTTACTATTAGTATCAATATTGAAAACGGTTGTACTGCTTAATGTTTTTATGAAAACTGTGAAGTTCCTTGATGAATAGAAAGTTCAATACAACAGCATTTATTAAAATATTTTTTTCATAATGTAAAAGTCTTGATTAATTTAATGTATCCTTGCTAAATAATAATAATAAAAAATATTTTTATATTTTAAAAACACATGGAAGTGCCATGTGGAAATGTCACTGCAAGAATGAATAAATCAAAATGGAACCAACATAAAAGCTTGATTGTTCTTTTCTGCCCAGCCAAATGATGAAAACACGAGGAAAGTGAATAGTCCTTTACTTCACTGTAAACTAGTGCTGGGCGGTATGACCAAAAATTTATATCACGGTATTTTTCAAAATTATACCGGTTTACGTCACTGGTAGTTCCTATAGAACTGTTTTAGACTCTACTCTGAAGTAGGAGATAATTTAGTACCCCCAAACGGAGTTCCTATAACTAAATACGTTCCCTAGTTCCTGTGGTGCGAACACGCCAAAAAGAGAGAACTTCCGCCAATAGTTCTAGGAAATATGAAAAGGTTCCTCCAGTGCGAAAGCCCCTTCTGTCTCTTTCTGATCTCCCATTATCACTGTTTGTGAGATTCTGTAGCAGTTTTTACCTGCCAGGTCATGCAGTTCTGTGTCAGTAGCGCTAGAAAGTGCCTCTTCCAATTCCGGGTCAAGGGTCGTGGCTTGCTCCTGATGGATCTCGATTGGTTTCTGCTTTGGAATCCATTCCTTTCCTGTAGAACGAAAAGACAAAAATCAGTAACAAACGACATAGCTTGTTGTTTGGCTGAAACGATGGATCCTCTGATTAAATGACTCTGCGTAAATGGTGAGTTAACAAATGGGAATAAACATTTATAAGGAATTTGTTTCTATAAGGAAGCATGTATGATTAGATTAAGGTTTTCATGACTTTAAAAATAACATTGTCTCTCAATTAATAAAATTTTTAAAAATGCAATTTAAAAGAGTTTCAGATAGTTTTGCATTTCATGTCGCAGGACATGTTGAGGTATTAAGTTATTTTGACACATTTTTTCAAACAGTTAGACTCGCTTTTGCCGTTTTCCACACAAATATATTTAACCTACAACCTACAAGATTTAACCTAGACTAGCATTCAAAAGTTTGAGGTCAGTAAGGTTTTTTATTTTTTATTTTATTTTTTTTATATGGCTTTGAAAAGTCTCTTATGCTCACCAAGGATGCATTTATTTTATGAAAAATACAGTAAAGACAGTACTATTGCAAAATATTATTGCATCAATAAATAGTAAATATAACTCATTCCAGCGACGGCAAATCTGAATTTTCAACAACCATTACTTCAGTCTTCAGTGTTACATATTCCTTCAGAAATCATTCTAATATGCTGAACTGATGCTGAAGAAACACTTACTATTAGTATCAATATTGAAAACGGTTGTACTGCTTAATGTTTTTATGAAAACTGTGAAGTTCCTTGATGAATAGAAAGTTCAATACAACAGCATTTATTAAAATATTTTTTTCATAATGTAAAAGTCTTGATTAATTTAATGTATCCTTGCTAAATAATAATAATAAAAAATATTTTTATATTTTAAAAACACATGGAAGTGCCATGTGGAAATGTCACTGCAAGAATGAATAAATCAAAATGGAACCAACATAAAAGCTTGATTGTTCTTTTCTGCCCAGCCAAATGATGAAAACACGAGGAAAGTGAATAGTCCTTTACTTCACTGTAAACTAGTGCTGGGCGGTATGACCAAAAATTTATATCATTCACGCTTAGTAACACATACAGCTGTTCCCTCACCACAGTGCAACACCCCTTTCAAACAGTGTCGCGTTCCGAACGTTGTTTAAGTGAGGTATTGCGGTATTTTCAAAATTCATATCATAACAAAAATAAAAACCGGTATTCGGTATGAACCAGTATACCGCCCAGCACTACTGTAAACCATCAAAAGACGACGACATTGCTGTTGAAGACCTCAGCATAGAGAGAGGGGTAGTGGTCAGACATGATGTCCAGCTGTATGAATGGCTGGTGTTTATGAACTCGACACACAGATAATGTGCACAGCAGGCCCATCATGATAACAGCTCACCACTTGACCTCATCTAGACTCCAATGCTATCGGACTCTCTGTGACGCTGATAATGAGGTCGGTAATATGATGCTGGTCTTGTGACGAGCTCATTCTCTCTGGACAGTGAACAACACACTCTACAGCTTTATTCAGGACATGTGACTGCTGATCTCTCTCATACTGAGTTGGTGTGAAGGGAAGGAGAAGAGATGTTCTGCTATAGCCTGAAAGCATTCAGTTCTTCTGTTTCAGTAAAACCTAATAATGTCACAATTTGAATTTAATGTTTCACAAAGAATAAAAAGACTTCCGGAAAGTCATTATTTAATGTCCATCAAGATCTGTGCTGCTTGTCAGCCCATTAGAAGCAAATATGGAACATTCCAACTCATGCTGGATATAGAGACATTTAAAGATGAACATTCTGTCATCATTCAGCCTCATATTGTTCCAAACATGTATAATTTCTTTCTTCCAAGGAAAACAAAAGGGGATGTTCTGCAGCAGTTCGGGTTTTGGAAGTAAAAATCCCATTTATCATACCCCATAAGGTAATTGATTTTGAATGGTACTCTGAGCTATGAGGTTGTTAATCATTCGTAAATGCTTTCGTTGAACACGAACGTGCACATTATTTTAAATTACTTTTTAATGTAGAAATTCCTGGTAAAAAACTACATTACCCATGATTTTGCAGAAAAATCTCTACCAATCAGAGAATTGCAATCTAACAAATTGCAAGTAAACCTTGCCAAAAGAACACTTTGGACTGACTCCAATGCATTTTTGCAATAAAACAACCTTTAAGTACACAGTCTTGTACCTTTGTCTTTTTGTCCAATTTTCAAATAATTTCTTGCTACAAATCAAAGTTTGTAATGTTTTGGTTTGCCTCGTAGGTGTTTGGTTTCGTTAATGACTCTAAAATACTTTTTTTTTTAAATCCCTATTAGGAAAATAAATGGGAAAAATCCTTCCAGAACCAATGCCACTGAAAAAGTAAACATGCACCGTTGAACTCTAAAATAATATAAGGTTTGGCACATTTAATTTATAGGCCTGAACTGAAAGAACTATATACTCCGTATTCATACGCAGCTTCCAGTTTTTTTCACACTAGACGTCAGCAGCACGTCAACCAGACCTGTGAGGTTTTGAAACAAACGTCAGTTTAGAGGGACTCACTTTGCTGATGTCAAACACATGATTAGTTTGTCTTATCCTAATACTGCTTCATTAAACAGGATTCAGTGACTGTGAAACACACACACTGTAATGAGTAAATGAAAAGCAATAAACTAAAAGAGGCAGTGTGTTACAGCAAATTTACCACTTTTTGGTAGGCACAACAGGTTATTGTTTAGTTTTTAGCCTGCCACACTAGAGTTCCTAACTGGGGCTGAGGTTCTAAGAACTTTCGGACTGCTCTGGACACAAGAAGAGGCTTTGTGTTTGAGGTGTGGCTGAATTCCAAACATGCTTTCAGTGCAAAAAATGAATTTGAACCAGGAAGAAGAAAAAAAAACAAAAACAGAAAACTATTCGCACAGCCACTGATGTGGAAAGCAGAGACTGCTGTGTTTCAAAGAGAGTATTATAGAGTATATTTGTCATAAATAGATTAATATTCACATGTGTTTAGAGGATATCTATCTGCCCATACACACACAGTCTTCAATGACAATTAAATATTTAATAAAACCCATTAATTTCCACTGACAGATCAAGAAATATTTTTAAAGTTTCATATGTACCACACACACAAAGTTAATGTATTCAATACATTGCGATTAAAATGAACAACATGAGTTAAAACAGTACAAACGTGTTCTTATGCAACAGAAACCTAAAAAAAAAAAGCACTGAAGTGAAAACAGCAGGACCGAATGATGCCGGTTAGTCACCCCTCAACTATTTTAACATGGTTAGTGCGTTGATATACAGCGCAACTGTGCTCACGGCGACCCGAGTTCGATTCCCGTCTCGATTACAGGAATAAATTACATTTTAAAACACTAAAAGTAATAATGTCACAATATTTATTTTTACTGTATTTTTACTTAAAGAAATGTAGCCTTGGAGACCATACGAGACTTCTTTGGAAGGGGAAAGAAAAAAAACAAAAACTTGAAACTATGGCTAGGCGATATGGCCAAAAAAATTACCACCATAAAATGTTTCATATCAGCCGACATCGACTGTGGTTTTAAACTACTCTGTATGGTCAGAACATAACAAACACTTCACATTTTTGATTTCTTTAAACTTTTCCAGTCATTTTTACTTAATAAAACAAAAATCTAAATAGAAAAATTAATTTCTTAGTTTCTGCATGTTCTAATGAGTGAGCCTCATTTATATGGTGAAATTTAATTATTATGACTGTTTGAGTTTTATTAAAAATTAACCACTGGTCTTCCATAGCATGCATTTAGATCATGATAACCACAGTTAAAACCACACATATAGCACCTCAATACCATGGTAAAAATGTAACTACATGTTTTTTAGGTATTTATAAATAATATAATAAAATTCCATATATACCACATTTCTGCCACAATACCATGGTGCAGTTAGTGTTACTACAGTTAATCCATGGTAAATTATGGCGATTTGCAGATTGAAAATCCTTCTGACTGTATCGTTGAGCACAGTGTTTCTCATGTTTATCAGGGCTGTTTCATCTGGCTTTAAACACAGAGACATTCGTGTTTTTCGCTGAATTCAAGCGCTTCACACTGGATCTCACAGCGCTGTTTAGTAAATGCATGAGTAAACACATCAGAGTAAACAAATCTGCTCTAGTAAGCTTGCGCTGCGCAACTTTGAGTCGAGCGGATAAATGCTGCTTGTGGAGCGGTTCAAATGAGCAGAGCTTTTTCATTCCGTTTTTGCCACATAAACATTATATCGAACATTTATCGAACTCTTGTTATAATTTTATCGAGGAAAATTCTATTCTAATAATTTAAATAAATAGTTTTACTGCCCTACTTTAAACATCTTTTTAAAAAAAAAAACTTTTAAACAGTAGTGTATAGGACAATGACAGAGCATATTTGATGATGCAATCATAATGCAAATGCAATGCAAGAGCCAAAGTGAAAGTACTAGAAAACAATCTTAAGTGTAGGGCTATGCAAAAAAATCGATTTTTCGATTAATCATTTTTTTTAAATGACATCGATTCGATATCGATTCTCAAAAGCCGCGAATCGATCTTTTCCGGGATTTATTTCAGCACATTTAAAACAAGATCTGATTAACGGGAATCTTGTCATTAGTCTTCTCCACTAGATGTCACCCTTATTTACCTTGCGCGATGTTACAACAGAAAATTTTATAGGGCCCTATTATTGTTTAAAAAAAGGACCCTATACAAAAAAAAGAATAGGTTTAAAATACAGGCATGTGGTTCTTAATTTCTTTTTATTAATTCACTATTTGTAAACTGATGTTTACTGTTAATTGTTTAGAAATATCAATAGCATTTGTATTAAAACTATATTCACTGAATGTAATAAAAAAAAATATAGAGAATCGAATCGAATCGAGAGCTTGCGAATCGAAATCGAATCGAACCGGGACATCTGAATCGATACCCAGCCCTACTTAAGTGCATTGGCTGCTTAAACCTGCAAGTCTGATTCTGA